CCAGATTCAAACCTCTTTCATAACTTAATCTACACAACGGATACTGTTCAACGTGCATTTGAAAACACCAAGACAACCTTTCCCAATCAAGCCAGATTGCCAAAAGTATCGCCGAACCAATTCGAGGTAGGGTGATTTTTGTCTTTCTGTCTTAAAGTTTATATTTCTTCGCCTTGATATTTTCGTTCTCATGATGACTTCTTCGCCTTGACATTGAAATGCGAAGAATCATCTCTAAAACTCGATCAGCATTCATACTTCCTTGCCTAGCAGCAACCACCTGCCTCCAGCCCTCCTCGTCCAATGTAAGCAATAACCCTCACATATTTTTGAAGAAAAAATATGGAACCTACCACTAAGACAGGCAAATAAAGGGTGAAGAAAGCTAGTGAAAGAAGCGCCAAGCCAATACCGTATCCAAGACGAACGCCTTGCTCCATAACTAGTTGCTCAGTGATCACCAATTTATTAGTATAACACTATGTCTGAAAATTAAATTCGTTTGCTGCACTTCTCAGTAATGATTTACACACAATAGTGGAAAGGAGCTATTCGAGGGACCGAAGAACATGCGATTCGAGTTCATGGCAGTGAGGCCGCCTACAAATTCAAGCATATTTCATGGCCTGCTCGCTTTTAGTCAAAAATCAAAAGTTTATACTTCAGATGAAAAACACAAGAAACAAACAACGGAAAACAAAAACAGCTCTCACGGCCGGACGCTTCGTTGTTGGGTGCTAAGTCAGCTGGGGGATGGGTGAGGGAAAGGGGACCACGCGTCGGGTACCCGACAGGAGGCCCGTCGCGCGTACGCGTTGCGACTCGTCCGCTGACTCTGCCTTCTTGCCGCGCGACGGACCTCCTGTCGGGTACTCCCACGCGTCGGTAGCATACCGGTAATTTTCAAGCACGATGGGACTAAGCCGAGCCTAGGAAGGAGTGGGTAAGCTGTGAATATGATTTGTGATTGTCTTTTGGCACATTCGAGTCTCCTTCTAGACTCAGACTCAGTGCCATTGCGTTTGACAGAAGCCATGCTGCCGCGTGGTCCCCTCCAACTAACTTAGCACCCATGATTACAGACAAGTGTATGATATCAAGTGCGTTTTGAGGTACTCTTAATGCTACTTGATACCACGATGATGCATTCATGGCATACCCGGTTGCGGAATATAAAAGGAATGTTGACAATGTCAGAAGATAATTCTGTGATGCACAACCCCCAATCACGGCGCCTGCTTAACAACAAACTCATCTCTTAAAACAACTCTTTTTCTGGCTCTGGCCAAGAATGCTATCTTTATGCTTTTCTATGCTATGCATATTCGCAGTTCTTTGCCACCCTCTTCTTCTCTGTCTTCCTACCTCCTACCTGGTTGCCTGCTACGAACTTCGGTTTCACTTGCAGACTAAACACTAAGCCTGCAAGGTTGGTACATGAGTCAGGATGAGCGATCCGGTCATCTCGGGCACACCCCAAAATGCGCAACGCCGACGGAAAAAAAGGCAAAGTCACAGAAAACTAACAAATCGGTCATAAGAAAATCTAAGAAGTGTAAAATTAAGAGTTATGTCTCAG